TTATAATATAGTATAGATAAAGTTAAGAGTAATTACATTTTTAGTCCTTGTAGTTTACTCGAAATCATACCGTACATGCCTAAATCCAAACAATTGTAAAAATGTCGTTGTGATCTACATTTTCTCATTCCTGTCACTAACTCCATTTAAAATTTCTGTTAACTCAAGATGCTCTATGAATAGCCATTTCTTTTTCTCAACAAAAAAAAAAATATATAGCCCCCACCGCACATACTATCACTTGTTGTGTTAACTTAAGAGAGCACACATCAATTTAAAACAATGCACCTTTATAATTAGGGGTGTTAAAAAACCTGATCAACTCTATCAACTCAACCCAACGTGAAATAACTCAACACGAAGCAATGCGATTTTGTCTAATTGAGTTGTAAGATCTTCAAACTTAGGTATTTAGTTGATATTGAGTTATTTTTATTTGAACCCAACTTAACCATATGAACTCGATATCCTTTTATTTCTTTGATTTCGTATGATTGTTGAGTCTCTATTAATATGTACTTTAAAAAATTACGTCATCACGTACCGTCTTTATATATATTTTTTCTATCTATCCACCATGTTTGTATAACTTATTTGTATACATGTCAATAGCTGTGAAAACACACGCACACACACACACACACTATATATATATATATATATATATGCAAATTGAGAAAATTAATTGAATGTGATATACTTAAGATTTAAGAAGTATGGATTGTTGTACCAAGTGATTGATGATGAAAAGAAAATTATGAGTAGACTAGAGAAAACAACATATTCAAGGTTAGTATAATAGTTTAATATACCAAAGTATCAATCCGACCAACCTGTACGTTTGGGTTGGGTTGCACCTTGGTTTGGATTGGATGAAGTTGAGATTTTTCAAACCACAAGCATTGAGTTGGATTTTATAAATACCCTCAACCCAATCAACCCAACCCATTAACACCTCTACTTATAATTAAACCTCATTTTTTCTCCTAATACGATAATCAATTTAGTGATTACATGTTCACCCAAGGCCTTATATGTAGGTCCTCTCCAATTTATAGGTATATGATTTAACAAAAGCATTTTATATGGCCGCTGCTTGTATCTTGAAAAACGTAAACAATAGATTATAAAACAAAAAGTAAAGATTGAAGAGGGATATATATGAGTAGAAGGGTGTGATAGAAGGATGAGGATGAAACGGTTATGTTTCTCCTCTTGAATCCAGTTAAGAGTCATCATCTCCATCTAAATCTGTGAATCTATTGAGCGTGAGTGCGATAGAAGGATACCGATGAAAGACGGTTAATGCGGCTGATAGAGATTAGGGATAAAGTC